GGGGGCCCCCCCACCCCCAACCGCTCATAGGGTCGGTGTTAAAAGAAGCATCGAAAACCACATTACAAGATGCTAAAGACAGGGGTTTAACTGTGAGCAAATCAATGCAGTAAGGCTTTCGCTTAGCTCGAGGAAGTCCAGCACAAACAGCACCCATAGTTTGTAGAGGCTGACAGGCTGCCATCCATTCAGTGTGTCCGATCTAATGTCAGGGTGACACGATCTTCTGTGTGAAATATCCCATTCGCTTCACAGCTGGGCTGACAGGAAGTGTCCCGGGGGGGGGGGCACATTACCCTCGGTGTCACATGACAGTCACTTGTCACTGCTGAAGCCGCAAAGCTGTGTCTCATTCTGCGTGGGTGAGTGTGGGGGTCGCCCGGCCCCGTCTGACGGCTCTGACCCCACCTGCCTGTCCAGAGCTCCTCCCATTTGTGAGACACAAGAAAACCTGCCTAAACCCCCCCACGGAAAAACACCGAGCTGCAGTCTCACAAAATCCCAGCCAAACCATTTCTTTTAAATACTGCACATTTTTCCGGCTCAGGTAATTGTCAGTATTAAAGAAAACTTCATGCAGGTGATCTATGAATGTTTCCATTACAGGTATGTTCCATATCTGACTTCACAAGACTAATTAGAATATGATTTGTAGTTATACCACCTTCCTACTGCGGCATCCAGGTGCTGAAAACTGTCACTCAAACAATGTCTGCCTCATGGTCCAGTCCTGCATGGATTCTTTGCATAAACAATACAAATCAGACACTTAAGAGTCATGCAATACTGCATGTTCCTGAACCATCACATTGGAATCCCAGGCCGTAACGTATGACATTCTCTGCATTGTTACTGTGTATTACAGTTTAAGTGTATTTTATACCGTCTAAATGTGTCTGTCTATCTATCTGTCCATGGTACAATGCAATTATATTACTGAGTAATAGATATATTGAATAAAAACTGTCAGAAATGTTTTAGACTGGCTGAGAAAGACAGATTTATTGATTGATTACAGGAACATGACACGATGATATCTCACTGAAACACACAAAACACAGTGTAATGTTCGCATACTAACAAAATCAATCATGGGGTTGCTTATATATAATTGTTACAATTTAAGAAAGCAAAACAAAGAAGTTTGTGCAGTGGATTGATGGGTAACATTCTGGCCTCAAACCACAAAGTTGCGGGTTCAACGCCTGTCCCCACTTATGGAGATCAATGCATATTAATCTTCATTGTTTTATTTTTGTTTTATTTATGTGATGTGTTTTGTTATGTGTCTTCCAGCAGTTCTTCCTCCTAATTGGCTTTCTTGCAAAATGAAGGTGGGATGAAGACATTGGGGTCTTCGATTCCATAAACGAAGTCGAGGTAACTGGAGGTGGAAGAAAAGGAGGTCAGGATGCAGCACGATGACACTCATGCCGTCTGCAACCGTGCAACATCCTGAACCGCACGATGACACTCACGCCGACTGCAACCGTGCAACATCCTGAACCGCACGATGACACTCAC